GGTAACATGACCAAATGAACACATATGGGTTTCTGTGGAGGCTTCCTTTACCCAAAAAGCTTTATATACAGGTCTCTCCAGGATTAGCTGTCAATATGTCATTTCTGAAAGAGGATACTGGCATCTAGGACCCAGTTTGATCACCCCAGTGAAATCATTCGCCCTGCACTGTTGTCTCACTTGGTTCTAGGAAGCAAACGAGAGCTTGACACTGGCACTGGAGTAACCCTCGTCACTCCCAATACTCTGCAAGCTGCTGTGATCATCAATGTCACTGATGCTGGTTGTGCTGATATTGTCCACTTCTCCATGGGAGAACTCTGTGCTTTCAACGTCCACTTCAATCTCTTCTAAAAAGGAAAAAAGAGAGAAACACACACAGGTTAGCACCACAGACCCAACTGCTCCCTTCAACTGCTGGGACTCGCCCAGGCAGGGATGAAGCAGCAATCCGGTAGGAAGACTTTCAGTGGTCTCCCTGGAACAGGATGTGCTGTGGACATGATTATAAAAAGACTAGATACCAGCCTGGAGGTTTTCTTAGGGACTTGGCAAAGGGGTTTGACTCCTCCAGCATGCAGGCCACCCTGTCAGCATCGGTGGGCCACCCCGTGCACTGAACCTGTTCTGCTACCCCTTTCTTTGGAGCCCTGCCACCCCAGTGTTGGAAACAAAACAGATAAAACAGAGGGCAACAGAGAAAATGAAGCATGAAGTTACCCCGAAACATGCTACTTGCTTGATATTATGTTGCCAAAGCCGGGACCACTCATACAGAGCATTACAATGCATTACCATCGGGATCTGGGTTACCCTCAGAGATGCTCAGTGGACTTTAGAACATAAATGTTATTTTTAAGAGAGACTTAGAAAGCAGACATCTAGTTAACCAGATGTCTTGGTTCCCATACCATTTAGGAATTTTCCAAAAGGTTGGGTTTTGGTGGTTTTTTTTTTTTTTTTAAATTCCAGACTCACACCCAAACTATACAGCATCTTTGGGTCTGTCAGTAAATATCAAGCCATCTACTGTACCTAAGTATCTCTCCACAGCAGATATATCTAAAAAAAGAAAATATCTGAATTCAGTTAGCCATTCAGATCATGTCTATCCAGTTTTAACTGAGAAGATGAACTCTATGGGAAGCTCGGGGGAAAAAAAAAAAAGGAAGGGGGGTGTAGAATGACTCTGGGAATTTTAAGAGGCAATTTGCTTGGTTCTGTTTGCTCGGTTATACCGTGGTACCTTGGTTATACCATGGCCCAAATACAGAATGAGAAGCTGGATGCTGCTTTGCAACATCCATTGCAGTCCCACTAAGATCTTCTCAGATTTTCTTCTTTGTGTTGCTGAGAGATTCAGTAGACCAAAGAGCACACTGGATATCTCAATTTTACCATCAGGTATTTAGCTACCATCTTGTGATCACGCTATTTTTCCCAACTAATGCTTTGGTATTTTAGACAGTTTTTCAGAGACACGGGTCACTTTAAATGCCACAGAAATCATCTCAAGTTGACAATAACAACACTTCTTCCAGACTTACTTAGAACTCATGCAAAATACTAAACTTTTCATATATATATATATATATATGTGCGTGTGCATGTGCATATGTGTGAAAAAAATCAGTAGCCTAAATACCAAAGGCCATAAGAAGGGGGTAGCTGAGAGACAAGAAATGGATGAACCTCGAGCCCTCGCTTCGCAGAGTCCTGAGGATTCAGTGCTAGTTCAGTGACACCCACCTCGCTCCGAGTCCGAGCGATCTGAGGAAATGGTAGATCCAATGCTGTCCATTCGTATTCGCTCTATCTCCTGAGGACCCTGTAGTTGTTCCAGTCTTCTCTTTAGGAATCTTTGTTCTCGTTCCAGGTTCTCAAGCTGGTGTTGGCTTCTCCTCTCAGCCTCTTCAAGTTTCTGACATGATCAAATATTACTCAGTAATTAGTTTCATCTTTTTCTCCTTCCCTCCCACCTCCACTGCCCAGCCACCTGCTTTGCTTAGACCTTCCCAGGCCCCAGAAGGATTTAAGCTGCAAAAGAGCCCCGAACCAAGCTGCCTTGCAGTCTCCAAGAACAATGCCATTTCCTCACATCTTGTCCACCTCCCATGTCCTCATAAATGGTACACATTAGTATAAAAAGTCTCTGAGGACAGAGCCTCTCCTGGGGAAACTATTGGAATTGTAGCAGTTTGTGGGTCATTCCACATGAGCCACTTGCATTACCAGATCTGTCCACAAAGGGGCCTCAATTCCCTTAACCAAACCAATTCAGGGTTTGTTATGATCCACTGTAACATAAAAACGTGCCCTGGGAGTTCTGTGTTCCTTGCTGCATGGTTTAGTAGGATTTCTCAGAAACAGTTTTCTATTCAGTAAGCGATTTACATAACCTACTACAGATTTCTTTGATCACAGCTGGGAAATCTACCAGGGCACTGTTCTTTGTTTCCTACAACAAACACATTGCATAAGGAGGAGTCATTTCAGGCTAACTCTGTCCCTTTGGCAGTGCTTTTTCTCTTTCACCACCCATCCTCCCTCCCGCTATCCTGACCTGTGACAAAGTATTTCAGTCTCTTCCAGATACTGACAATGCTGCATTTTCTTTTCATGCTTCGCTTTGCCAAAAGTGACTCCAGAAGAGCGCTGGGTTAGCTGGCAAGTTCATGCATGAAACCCCAGCAAGCCAGCCCCATCTCAGAGTCTTGTGGTTTGTGCTAATGCTTCGGCAGTGGAAACTCACTAGCACATCAGAAAAAAAGCTGCATTTCCCATCAAAATGCAGTCATTCAACAGTAGGTATGTTTTTCTTTAAAGAGATGCAGCTGTCAACGAACGATCACAATACAGAACAAGACCCCTGCTCTCCAAATCAATCATTTCTGTAGTTAACGGAGTTCATTATGGACTCTTCTAACAATGTGGCTTGTAGCAATGATAAATGATTAACCAAAGGGGCAAAGCTTGCTTGCTTTTTTTTTTTTTTTTAAAAGGTGTTAGTCTCCTTCAACCTCTAGGCAGCAAGAGTGACTGATTGAGTTGCACTTCCCAACAGTCCAGACTGAAGGCAGCTGGGAAAAGCAGCTCTTACCTTGATATGTGCTTTGGCTTTGTTGAGCAGCCCAAGCGTTGTGTGCCTGGTGCAGTCTGGTCCTAGCGGTATCAGAACTTTTAAGCGTTCTAGACACAGGCGGAGGTGAGCTCGGCTGCAAGGGGAGAAGAAGAGGGTCAGAGCTATGCTTTCAGAAATGGAGTGTCATTTCCTTCTCTACTTCCCTCCTGTGAGGCAGTTTTCATGTTTCCCTCTTTCCACACATCACAAGTTAACCCACAGGTACCAGGACAGATTGCCACTAAACTACTGACACTGCAAACATCAGCTGCTCACCAATACTTGCATTATTGCTAACCTCTGACAGCCACTGTTTATTTTCTTGCTGTCTGAACTGATAATCTGACTCATCTGGATGAACTTTGCGCAGGGGCAAGGCACACAGGCAAATGGTACGAGTATCTTGTGGGTTTCCTCTCAGCTATTTGCTGCCTGTTTTGCTGAGCAGAACTTTTGTGAAAGCAGTTTCGAATGACTGCTACCCCCTGCACACTTGTGCATTACTGGCTCAGGAACATTTGCTATGAACTGGTCTAAGTACCGTCTTTTTGCACAAAGTTAAGATGATCAATGAGAAAAATGGTGAGCCCAAAACACCCAAACAATCCCTGCTGGCAACTAAAGGAGCTAGAAGGATGGTAGCGCCCAAGAACTGCACTCTTACTCCTTCCTGGGTCCAGGTCTGAAATGCTGCTGGGGGGCAAGGTTTGTGGGAACGAGAAAACCCAAGACCTTCCCCTGGGCAGTCTTCTGACCTTGGCTCACGTCTACAAAGACAGGCTCAAGCACGACAGTGCTGCCGCCGATATGAACCATTTTCCGCAGAACATGGGAACGTGTCCTGGGGAAAATGATTCAGGCAGCAGTGGCAAAGCACATCATCCTCGGGCTGCGCAGGAAAACTGTTCCAGTTGTCTCCTCCTCTGTATCACTTATGCAGGAATGAACAGCAGATTTATGGAAAACTATCGAGTGTGGGTTGCCTTTTTCCCCTCCCTCTCTCTTTCCCAGACATTAATGATTTATGTCCAAACTTGTCATCCCAATCAATAACACAATGACATCAGCTCCACCATTCACATGCAAGAAACACCAGTGCAAAAGGGTCCTGAAAGCCTATCCCAGCCCCTGCTCATGCACAAAGAAACTGAATCTTAGCCTGATCCA